TCTTCATGCTTCTTTTTTTTTTTTTTTTAATTTATTTATTTAAATTTGACCAGAGAGACAGAGTGAGAGAGAGAGGGAAAGTGAAAAAGCAAGCTGCCAAGTCTGGGACTTGAGCTGCAGTCAGCCATGTGGGAGTCCAGCACCCTTAACTACCATGCCACCTGCCAATCCCCTTCATGCCTCTTTTACTTAGAAAAATTAATAGAAGCACACATTGAAGTGCCCTTTGCATTCATTTTGGAGCTCTTACCCATTTTTCTGAGGCACAGGTTCTAGAATTCTATGGAATTGTATGCAAAAAAAGATTCTTGTGTGTATTTCCTGAGATTTAGAGTTTTCATAGAATCTCAGAAAGGTCTAGAGACAGGAAAAAAAGAAAAAGCTAACAAGAGTTGCAGTTAAATGGAGAGAGGCATTGGAGAGAGAGCATCCTCCCTAAAATGCTGTCCTACTGAAACTGCAACGCTCTGTCGTCTTCCTACCAACAGAGGGAGCCAGTGCTCAGCCTGGGGGAACAGTCCATCGCGTTCTTGCACTCAGTTACACAAGCTGCATCAAGTTGCCCTTCCTAGGAAGAGGCAGATGCTGTGGGCAGGAATCAGCCCACTCTTGGTTTGGTAGAGGAACAGTAGATGAAAGTTGCTACCAGGGCCGGTGGTACCATGCTTAGTCGTTTCCCTCCCTGAGTCAGGAATTAACTTCAGAGCCAGTGACCTGATGGTGCTCAGCCAGCTGCGTGTGAGCTCCCCAGAACCCATCCCTCCCTAACCTCCTCACTCTAGAAGGCATAATAGACCCTGTTGGATTTCTCTTCCAGGTCTTTCAGTTTGCAGTCAAAGAATCACTTATCCTGAAGCTGCCAACAGATGAGCTCATGAACCCCTCACAGAAGAAGAAAAGAAAACACAGGCAAGGGCTGACAAAGGATTTTTTATGGCCAAGCTGTTCTCTGTGCTCTGACCTTCCCTTGGACTTTCGGTCTGCCTCCCTCTTTGGCTGCTGCACAAGGCTGTGTGAGCCCATCAGTTTGGCCTCCCACAGCTGAGGCTGGTGCTCTCCGAGCTCCCTGAGGCTCCCGCCCTGGACCCGTCCTGCCCCCACTACCTAATGCTGGGGACCCTGAGATAACGGTCTAGGTTTCCATTTACGCTCCTGACCAGGAGGACATGAGCTGGCTTCATTGCTTCCCCCTCAGGTCATTTTTCTTTGTGGAGTAGTGAGTTACCGCCTTACCCATTGCTCGGCTCTGATCAGGGTTCCTTTTGGGGCTCTTGTGTTGTTTATCTAAGTTATATAATACCACCATCTCCTAGGTAGTCTTGACTTGGGCTTAGACTTTTTTTTTTTCAGTACTCTGCCTGCTGTGGTTTCCTAATGACTATCACCTATTGAAAGAAGGCACTGACACCAGTTCTAGACACAGAAGGAAGCCCCAGTGGCTCCTTTTCAGTTCTTTCACTCAGAGAAGATCCCTGAAAAGCTTTTCCACCTCCCGTCTTGAAATTCTCCCACATCTCCGCCTCCACAGAGAAGGAGGAAGGGGAGAGAGAAGTGGTAGGAGTGTAATAGACATTAGGTTGGGCTTTGTTTTGTTCATGTTTTTTGTTGTTTTATGTTCATTTGTTTGGGAGGGGTTTGTTTATTTCTTTTTTAAATTTTACCATAGGGTGTGTGTACTTGCTATAGAGAGACAGAGAGGGAGAGAGAAAGTGAGAAAGTACCCCCTCCATGGCCATGCTGCATACTTACTTAGCATGTTTTTTAAGCCACCAGGGGCAAGACTCAAACCATCCAGTTGACCGTGTGGGATCCAGCCATCTTAACCACCATTCCACCAGCTGGCCTTAATTTGTATACGTGTGTGTGTGTGTGTGTGTGTGCGTGTGTGTGTGCATGGTACATTTGTGGTTTTTTTTTTTTTTTAAGTTTATTTCTTCCATGAGAGGGCAGAAGGGAAAGAAGCATCCCCAGCAGAATCCTCATGCTACTGTCCATCCCAGCCTAAAATCACAGGCTAGGCCACTAACCTGGGGCCGTTACATGAGGGTCCAGCATTGCAGAGAACTGTTACCGTTGTGTCACTGTCTGCCCCTCACCCCAATGGTCGTTTTTAGATATGGTCTCACTGTGTCACTGTGTTGCAGTCCTCCTGCCTCAGCCTCTGGAGTAACTGGGACTCAAACCATGTACCCTGGGCCCAGCTTTTTAGGGCAAATGAGGAATCGAATTCAAGCCTCCCATTTGATTTCAGCCAGCTGAGCAGCAGCATCTTATGCACACTGCCACAGCTGAGTATTTTAAAATCTTGCAGCCTAGGCCTGCTGGATTTAGGGTGGACTCTAGCTTCCACTAGCAGTCCACTAGATGGATTTGGGAGACCACTCCCTCGTCATCAAACCACAGCCCCAGAGTCCCAAATTCCACCTTTGATAGAGAACAGGTCATGTTGTCATTTGCCCACACCTGCAGAGCTCCCTAGGGCTATAACCCAGACCCATCTCTTCTCTCATTTTCAGGTTGTGGGCTGCACACTGCAGGAAAATTCAACTGAAGAAGGGTAAGTTCCACAGGGCGTTCCTCTGCAGTTCAGCTCGAGGCCTCACCCTGTGGCCATCACCCAGCCCCACCTGCAGCTGTACTTCTTGACCCCACACTGCTACCGCAGAGATTGCAGAGTTCTGTGCAGCAGCTGAGAACGCCCCAGCTCCCCACTGCAGCTGAGACGGCCTCTTAGGAGGTAGTGTGATGTGCCTTCTGGTCTCTGGCTTTCCTCCAGTGCCATTTGCCAGGTTCCAGACCTCATTGAATGTTTACAGTAGCTGCCCTGTTGTCCCGGATGAACTTCACACCCTCTCCATGAAACAAGTCACCCCACTGTAGCTTATGAAATAGTCACCGGTGGGGTCTTCTCACTTCAGGGGACATGGTTATTATGACAAACTTCTTAGAGTCAGGGAGGTGGACCAGTTGGCGGTGAGGGAGCATGGTCACAGCAGCCTTGCCCTGTTCTCTTTCCTAGATAACTCTTCCACGCAAGTGTACAACTACCAACCCTGCGACCACCCAGACCGCCCCTGCGACAGCACCTGCCCCTGCATCATGACTCAGAATTTCTGTGAGAAGTTCTGCCAGTGCAACCCAGACTGTAAGTGTGCCACGTTGTCCCTGCTAGTCTACTGAAACAGCCGGCCTCGGTGGGCCCCAGCTTCCCCTCGTCTCCTCTCCTGCACCCGTCACTGCCTCTGGGCCTTCTGGTATTCTCTTTGCCGTGTTTTGGGCATGCGACGGAGGAGACAAGGTGCTCACGGTCTGAAAAAGTCATTTTGGAAAAACTCAGATTCATGATTCTGAAAGCAGCGATTATACAGAAATCAAGTGCTTTCTTAACTTTACCTTCTGGAGAATTGAAAAACGTGGGAACCTTTTTCTTAAGGTTCCCTTTTCAGAATGTTGTTTAAAATCTCTCTAGGTTGTAATTCTGTGTGTGTGTGTGTTTTTGTTGAGAGAGTTTAATACTGGGTGGGAGATGGGGACTGGATGTCAGTAGGAACTAAAAATGCTTTTTTTCCACTTCTTATGCCCCCATGCCCTTGCTCACATGAGGCTGAGCAGTTCCATGGCAGTCCCCAGAGCTCGCAGAACTTGAGGCCTGTGGCTGTGCTGTAAATATCTCCTAACCCATGGCTGATATAGATCTTAGCCACAGCAAAGTGGTGCCTGTACTGGGGAGGGCAGTGGGTGGAGGAGGATGGTGTGGAACGGATGCATTCTGTTCTCATAATGATACTTGTTTTGATGGTGAAGATTTACCAGTGAAAAGCACTGATTTCATTTTTTTCTAGGGCACTTTCCACCTTCCTTCCAAATCCTACCACCAAGAGAGAGGGAGAGCATTGTTGAGAGGCACTTTATTTTCTCTGAACTCACTTGGGTATATGCTTATGGGGAAGGGAGCTTCTCTCCTGATTTGCTGAACATCTTTGAACACATACCATTTACTTCTCTGCTATCACTTGAGTCAAACCCATGTCCTAGGGCCAACCCCGTGGCCTCATCGTTAAAAGATCTGAATTTCACATGGCCGAGCATAGTTTGAATCCTTATCCTAGTGGCTTGTAAAACATGCTGGGTTGGGACCAGTGGTTGGCATAATGGCTATGTTGCTGGACTCACATGTAGTTGACCATGGTTTGAGTCCCAGACCTGGTGGCTTAAACTCACACTAGGCACCTGTGCGTGCATGCCCAAGATCCCAAGAGGAGAATGGAGGAGAAGGGATTGCTGCATGGCCATCCCCCCTGGGGGGTGATTTCTCTCTTTCTGTCTCTGTCTCTCTCTGTCTTTCTGGCGAGCGCACACGCCCTATAGCAAAAACCTCTCCAATAAAAAAGAAAGAAAGAAAAACATGCTGAGTGTGTGTGAGTGCATGCTGTAAATCCTGACGCAGTGGAGAGTTGAAGGAGAAGGGATTGTGGCATAATCACACCGTATTGGAGAATGCGTGCTCTCTCTCTCTCTCTCTCTCTCTGGTGTGTGCACGTACCCTCTGGCAATTAATTTTTTTTTTTAAACCTGAGCCCATGCTAGCTTGTGGTGTGGTGGTTAAGGCTGCTGGATCCCACATGGCTGACTGTGATCCAAGTCCCATACTCAGCATCTTGAAAAACACTCTGGGTGTGTGTGCGTGCATGCCCAAAATCTTAAGAGAAGAATGGAGAAGGGCTTGTGGTGTGGCCATCCACTCTGGGGAGTGCTTTCTCACTTTCTCTGTCTCGTC